TGGTGGCAGCTCCCACGGCGTTGGCCAAGACGTATGATTCGAGGTCGTCAGCATCGCGGGACAGCGAGGCCATGATGTCTTCGACTGCAATGATGGGCCAGACGGGGAAGAGACGCAGGCGGTAGATACACAACCTGAAAACCAGTGATGCGCTGGGCGTCCTTTGCGGCTGGAGGGCATTGTCGTGTCGGACGAGTCGTTGTCCACTCACGGCGCTCCCAGTGGCCTCGGATGATCCTCCCTCGGAGGACGATGGGGACCGGGATGAGGACGGAACGCCCGAAGAGGCGGCGGCAACAACCGGGGTTGAAGCGGAAGCCCCATCACCGGTAGGTGAGACGGAGGATGCAGAACCGGCGGCACCGGTGGTGCCAGCGGGGGCAGAAGAAGAAGCAGAAGCACCAGCAGTTCTAGCAGCAGCAGAGCCCTCCTTCTGGGCCTGGGCAATCTGGCGTATCGTCTTCGCCCTCAGGTTCCGTGGGCCCCTAGTGGCAGGGACCTTGTTGAAGGTGCATGATGTCCCGATGGCGACGCAGCCATCACAGGGCGGGACCTCTGTGCATTTGATCTTGCGGATCTTGCAGGCGTCACAAGCTCTTTTGCCAATCTTGCGCCCGGATGACATTGTCTCCGCGAAAGAGACGGAGAGAGGACGGAAAGGGGGGAGGGGGAGAACAACGTCGGCCCTGCTATCCTACTTGTGCCGTGTCATGGCAGCTCGCACCTGCCGTGGACTGACTTTCTTTTTGGGGATTCGCCAGGTAATACGTCAAAGTCGTGGATGTATGCAAGTTGTGTGAGGGCGGGTGTTGTGAAGTCTGTCACTTGCACCAGAAGAAACGGGTCCCCAGGTTCCCGGCAGGCTGGGCTTGACCAAGACCGTGTATCCGTAGTTCTTAGGGGCGTAAGTGGGTAAGCGAGGTGACAAGCACGTAAGGGTATGAGGTACGAGTGAGGCTATCCGCAGGTATTACAAAGCAAGGCTGCGAGGGTCAGGCGACTCTGGCATAGTCTGAGTAAGAAACTGGCGTTCCTTGCTTGATTCGAATCGAGGCAGAGAGAAAGCTGTCACCGGCGCCTACACGTCTCGAGGTGACTGAGAGAGGCACGGAAAGGTTGGACCAAGAAAAATGGGGATGGGAGAGCATCTGCGGACGTCTGAGATGCGCAGGGTGGAGTCGACGACCGATGGTGTGCTCGCTGCGCTAAGCCGATCAGGGGAGCTGTGGACCATCCGCCGTGCCTGCCTCCCTGCAGCTTGACACGCTTCAGTCCGCTTGAGGGGGGCTTGGGGTCGACAGGTGGCGCCCGTTAAGGGACCTTGGCGCTGTATTTCCCCGCAAATTCGGCCTCTCACTGCGGTAATGTCCTTGACCGCTGTCCGGGCCGCCGACCTCCCAGCGATTTGGTCCAGCCCGGGATGTCACACGGGGCCAATCAGCGTTCATCCATTATTACCTAAGTGTAGGTACGTAGAGAGGTATCTCGAAATTCAAGCGAACAAAACGAACGAGAATATGCATCTTTCTACCAAGAACACTAGGTAGCACGATGTTATGATTATCAATTGACCTGATTGGGAGTGCAATGCGGGCATATTGCTTATAATGTAATTTGATTAGTTGAAGAAAATTACAATGCCTCCTAGCGCATGCATGGTAGTACCTTGTTCTCGTCATTTTGGTCTCTACCGTCTTTATTAGTCATAATCTTGTCCTTTTCATGGACTGGTATCCAAACTTATATCGCCCATCAACTTTTTGAATATTGTCCTCGAGCTATACTCATGCATACACGCATACAATGCATATGGCATGATTACCCTCCTAGTAGACAAACCTGAAATCCAAACGCTTGTTTCCGTCCTGCTCGCGCGCCGCCGCATCACTCTGGTACGCCAGCCGCTCCTCGTTGGACATGGCGTCCCACACCCGCGCCTTGCGCTTGTTCAGCAGCACAAGAACTTGACGGTGGACCAGGAACACAACGAGACTAAAAGCGCAAATCGACACGCAGACCGTGTTCCCGCGCTTGTAGTACGGCGCATCGTAGGCGCGGTAGATTTGGGATCCAGCGAGGGACCCGATCTGCACAATGACGTTGTACGTCGCTGCCGAGATGGCGCGCTTCTTGACGTCGAACGTGTTCTCCGAGATCCACGATGAAACGATTGGGTGGAAGTAAGGGTAGCCAGAGATGAGCGTAATAACCGAAAATCGGCTCCATTCGCGTCCACCGTCGGGCAGCGTGAGGAGGGTGATGAGCAGGGGCATGATCCAGAGCTCGCCAAAGATGCAGTGGAACGCCCGCTCCTTGAAGTAGTCGCTGCTAAAGGCCAGCGTGAGCATCGTAATGATTTGCAGCACGGCCGAGGGCACCGTGAGCATGTTGGCGTTGAACGTCGTGAAACCCAGGCGGCGGAGGGTGAGCGTCAAGTACGCCTGGACGGGCGTGGCCGGAATGTAGGCGACGAGACCGATGAGGTACAGGCCCCACATGGAGGGGTCGAGCCATGCGTTCTTGATGTCCTTGAATGTCATGGGCTCCTTCAGCGCAGTGAGGCCCTTTGCGGGGTCGTCGCGGAGGATGCGGTTGATCATGATGACCTCCTGTTTCTCTGTGTACCACGGCTTTCTCCAGAGGACCGTCGTAGTGTTCGTCGGGGAGGCGGGGAGCCAGAGGAATGCCTGTAACAACATGGGGTCAGTGGGGGGAATCATTTCGAATCACCATACCTCGGAAGAGAGAAAGCGGGGGAAGAAACGCGGGCAGACATACCATGACAGCCAAAACACAAGTCAGGAGACCCTCTGAGCGGCTAGTCAGCGACAAGACACACAAGAGACGAAAAGGCGAGGGAGCAGATCACATACCCAACAGGAAGAGCCAGAACCAGCCTGTGTGTCCACCAATGCCGCGCATCTTGAGGATACCCGCCGCCAGCAGAGCCGAGATGACTCGTGCAACGTTAAGCGTGGACCAAAACACGGCCAGTCGAACGGACAGCTCCTTTGATGTGTAAAAGTAGGTCGCGAAGAGAATAGTACCAGGAATGAAGCCACCCTCGCAGGCGCCGATGAGGGCTCTCGTCACGTAGAAGCCGGCGCGGGTCGTGATCCAGGCCTGCGTCCAGGAGACGGTTCCCCACATCATCATCATGGTCGGCAGAACGTACTTGAAACCGAAGCGCTTGGTGAGGAACTGGACGGGGAACTCGGCGGCCAGGAAGCACACCAGCTGAATTGTGGTTCCCTACAAGAGCGTATGTTAACAATTGAGATAGTCAAAGAGGCAGACTGCCAGAACGTACGTTGTTGTAGTCGTCACTGCTGAGCTTCAGGTCTTTGAGGAAATCATCTGCCAGAGCATTGCTCAAGTTTCCCCTGTCCAATTGCAGGCCAAAGAACTGGTTTAATATTAGCAAAATAGCTTCTCATGACCTCAAAGTGGCTTCGCATACCATGATACACAGCATCGTCAGCAACTTGATGTCGGTGATGCGAACCACCTTCCTCTCCTCGGCCTCTGTCCAGGTCGCGGCGGGATCCCATCTGTGCTTTCCTTCATAAGACTCATGCGGCGGCACGAGGTCAGACAGATTCTCGCGACCGATGACAGGCGCGTCCGAGTCCTGGTATATGGACACGGCGTCCTTCCCGCTGTCGCTGGCCGTTTTCCGCGCGGTGGGCTCGACGTCGGCCATCTTTGCTATTGCTACTGCTGCCGTCGCTTGGTTCAGGCGAGAGAGCTCGTGTAAGCAAGAAGTGAGTGGAGGCCGGAGCACACACACTCGCCCGAGGTTTCGCTTGCGAAGAAAAAGGGAAACAAAAAGGTAGCGTAAACTGACGGTGATCGACACGAAGCTCCAGTCTCAAGAACGGAGACGTTCTTGATGCTCAACTTAATAGTCGTTCCTCAAACTTCTGATATGTCTGATTGAGGCTAGCAGATCACGGCTCACGACATCTATGCTCGGTCTTGCGTCTTCGAAGGAACCCACATACTAGTGGAGGTGAACCATGTGGTCGGACAAGGGGGCCAAGGGCGAGAGAGAAAAGATGGTGTTGACAACTTTTCTGCTGCTGCTGATAGCGACCGGGTCCGGATGGCCTAGCCGGAGAAGTGAGAGTTGATTTCTCCAAATAAGAAACCTTACCCCAGAATTCTCCGCCTACCGATTAAAACCCCGGGCTCTCGGAACGACACCCCCTGGCAACGTGTCTTGGCCAACGGGCGATGTCATTGTCAACATAGTTTTGACTACATGTCATCTGCCCTTTTCTCTGGCGAACGACGACTTCACGTTCAATGGGGGTTTCATTCGTGTTTTCTGTTTTGCTTGCGCCCATGTGAAGGGTGTCGACAAGAAAGGCTTGTGACAAGGAACGGAGCAAATATGCCAATGGGCAAGGTAGCCCCGGTAGCTAATGTGCCCAGAGCAAAGACGTGATGCTGCCGCGTCCGTCTTCAAGTCCGAAAGATTCTCCGACGAGGACTGCGAGTTTTGAGACTATGAGGCAGAGCAGGAGAGGGGGGAGGTGTGTGTGTGTGTGGGAGGTTAGATGGCCGAGTGTTGTCTCCGGAGGGGGTGCCTGAGGTGCCCCCACTCCGCTGATTGGCCACGGCTGACAGACTTCGCCGAATTAGGAAGCTTTGCGATTGCGCCATCGCCCACCGGTCGGGAGCCTCCGTAACGATGAGTCTCTGAGTACTCCGTAATACCTGCCACCCGACCAAGGGGAAGCCATCCTCGTTGGAGAAAACGTCTGACGATCTTCTTTCCCTCCTCACCCCATTTCACATTACTGGTCACTCCCCGATCTCGCTTTGAAAGCATACAGAAGAAAAAAGAGGAACAATACTCTCCCTCCTTATGACAACGTACGTGCAGAGCGACAAAACATAACGGGTGCTCCGGACATAAAATCTAGCCATATATCTCGCTCATAAATCTTCCCTTTCGCTTATCAGATCTTACCTCACACACCCCCAAACAAAACATGATCGACGACACTCTCAAGCGCCCTGCATCAACAGACTATACCACCTCACACCCCGTGAAATCACAAAAGATCATCAGCAACAATAACAACAACGACATGCCTTCCGCGGTCTCTACCGGTTCCAACATTGTTGGTGGAAACTCGGCTGCTCGCCCCCGCTTGAGCAAGCCGCTCGTCTACTCCGGCTCTCTGGACAACTTCAAGAACGCAGACATCACCCCTGTCATCGGGCGTGAGTATGAGGGCCTGCAGGTTGTTGACCTCCTCAAGGCGGACGACCAGGTCATTAGAGATTTGGCCGTCACAAGTGAGTTTATCCTCCACCTCTCTATGTATGTCAAGCCATGCGCTAATAGATGGCATAGTTTCTCAGCGTGGTGTCGTCTTCTTGAGGGACCAGGATGTGACGCCCACCCAAATGAAGGATTTCTGCCTCCGTCTCACAGAGCTTGCCGGATGTGTAAGTGAAAATCAACAACTTCAACCCAACTTGTAACTCGGCTCCCTAACCTGATCCGAGAAATAGCCCGAATCATCAGGCCTTCACATCCACCCCCTGACAGAAGAAGGTAGCGAGCTCGGTGACCAAATCAGCGTCATCAGCAGCGAGAAACAGAAGAAGGGCGGCGGCCTCACCCACCAACTGAGCGATGTCAGCCGCTTCGCCAGCGCCGGCTGGCACACCGACATCTCTTTCGAGCAGGTCCCCTCGGACTACGCAATGCTCAAGATCCACACCCTTCCCGCCACCGGTGGTGACACTGTAAGTCCCAAACCAACCGCGTCCCCGTCCCCCATCTCATCTCTCTTCCCCTGAAAAGGCTGGCTGGAACCACCCGTGTCCTCCCCCTTGCTCACTTGCTTGCTTGCTTTGCTCGCCATCGTACCCTTGCAGTTGCATTGCAGATGAGAGGTGGAACCTTGCCCGGCTAACTGGGTGAACTCGCAGCTATGGGCTTCTGGATATGAGATCTACGACAGACTCTCCCCGCCCATGCAGAAGTTCCTCGAAGGGCTGACGGCCACCCACGACGCCACATTCTTCCACGACGAGGCCCGCAGGCTGGGTAACCCCCTCCGAGAAGGCCTCCGCGGCTCGCCGCTGAACAAGGGCTCCGAGCTCAAGTCCATCCACCCCGTGATCCGTACCAACCGTAAGTATAATGCCCGTCTATCACATCACTCCACCCCTAGTCAAACGCATTCCGAAAAAAAAAAAAGTCTAGAACCTCAAGCTGAAAAACCTACCCCCTTCAGCCGTAACGGGATGGAAGTCCGTCTACGTGAACAAGGGCTTCACCAAGCGCATCAACGGCGTCACAAAGGACGAGTCCGACGTCCTCCTCGCCTACCTCTTCAACCTCGTCACCCAGAACCACGACGCCCAGGTCCGCTTCAAGTGGCGCCAGAACGACCTCGCCATCTGGGACAACAGGAGCATGTGGCACTGCGCCACCTACGACTACGTCGAGGCCAGGGCCGGCGACCGTGTTGCGTCGTTGGGCGAGGCGCCGTATCTCGATCTGAACAGCACAGGTAGACGTGAGGCGTTGGGACTGTGAAGAAAGGACGTTTTCGACGAAAAAAAGGTTTGGATCACGAATGGCGTTGGGGTTTTTGGCAATTTTGAGATAGAAACTTGTATTAGGCCTTTGACGAATTGAAGTTTATCAGCATTATGTGGAAGACACGGCACTATGAAACATTGTTGGAAGAATCATCCATTGCATACTTGCTATGGCATAAGGTAACCTGCTTCATGATGCTATAAATATCAGTCAACCACCACATGCTAGCGATTCCATCGCATTGCCCCTGGCTGCCATTCTCGCTCAAAAAGCCCTTCTGTCATCACCCCTCTTTCTCATCATCGCTGAGTTGATCTACAGTATCGCCATTATCTTCGTGAAGCAAGTCTCCAATCCACTTGCTTTCCCCGAGTATGCTTCTTGCTTCCTCGGCTTCCACTACCATATCATCAGATATCAACAGCACTGCCAATTCCGGGACCAACACTGCCTCCACATAGCTAGAATAACCACGCGACGATATCAGCCGATCGTCGACGGCTCGTTCTCTCAGAATCGATGAAAAGCGACCGATAATGTGCTCCGAGAATGCACGAAGGCCCCGCGGGCCGTAATAGCCAGGCGTCAAGCTATCTTCTGCCTTGAGCAAGGTCCGGTTCTTGCCCTCCTTGACCTTGTCAAGCAGCAAATCACCAAAGTGAGAAGATCCGCCGTTGATAATCTTTCCAAGAAAGCTATAGTGAGTAGCAATGCGAGTATCAAGTCCCTCCCAGTCGATCTTGGGGTAGCCCCGAGCATCCCAAGCCTTTTCAGCAGACTTCTTTTTGTGCAGTCGGCAGAACTGAATCTGCTTTCGGATGTGCAGACGGGCACCCTTGGAGAAATCGTGCAGTAACTTCTCATCGACAATCTCATTACACATGGGGCAACGTGCCTCTACAAGCTGCTTGAGGTCGCTGTCCAAGTCTGACAAGTCCGAGGATTCAAACGAGAATTTCCTCGTCTTCTTCAAATCAGACTCAGGACTTGACTCTAGATTGCGAAGCTGTGAGCGCGCATTCGTTGGACTCTGCAGAGACTCAGGTAGGGAAGCTGATGGAAGTTTGAACTCGGCCTTAGCTTTTCGCTTTGGTGACGAATGAGGACTGAGAGATACATGCTTCATAACAGGATGAGCAGAAGCGTGAGGAGGAGAGGATAAAAACGTGGCCGCGGGCTCAATGATGCGTTTTGGAGGTGTCTGGCTCAAGAACTGGTCAAATGGGTCGTCATCGTAGGCTTTGAAAGACGGCTGCACCATCTTGGGCGCGGCAGCTGATCAATGGTTAGTAACCCCATAGCTTTGAAACCAATGTACAACAAACCTTCTCTTCCTAGCTTGGATATCGGCCTCTCCTGCGATGACTTCGGTTTTGACTTTGTGGGAGGTCTGATACGCCCTCTGCTGTTTTCGCCTCGACCATAGCTCTTCTTCCGTACTAGTAATCTTTTGGCCTCTTTCTCGTCGTCAAGGCCGATCTTCCGTGCCTTTGTTACCTTAGATTCTGGACTAAGTGCTCCGCCGTCTGGTGAGTTTCTCTTGCTGCCACGTGTTGTAGAGAAAGAGCCCTGAGAGCCTTCGTATTGCGCTTGTCCTTGAGAGCTTTCCTGGGAAGCGCTCCACATCTTGCTCTGCTCCTTTCCTCTCTTCGATGAGCCGAAATAAGGTCGAGCCATGTCGGCGCGAGATGACCAGGCACTCTGATCATCATCAGAGTCTGAAGCTGGTTTTGTACTCGAAAAGACCCGAGACGCCTCTTTTGAGCTTGGCATGGCATTCGAAGGGATTGATCCCCTGCAAGGTTCTGGATCGGTAATCTCATCATCAGAGTCATCAGGTGGCCGGTCTACCGGTCTGTCGTCGGCGACTAATGTCCGTCGCTGGCCATTAACCTGTGACAATAAAGGCCGAACGCGGTTGTCTCTCGCAAGACCAGCTCGCCTCTGCATCGTTGCCTGCTTTGGGGGCATGTTGACACTGAATATGCCTTACAATGATGCCTAACGCAGCGTTGGGTCGACTGAGTTATGCTCTCGAGAGGCAGAAGTATCAGTAATTAAGTGTTCCCTGCGGAGACCAGCAGGCATCTCACACGGAGCTCAACATCAGTCTCCGGCCGGGTTCGCTTCCGCTTCCGGTTCAATCCCTGATACTTTGTAATGGAGGTTGGCGAACATATGCAAGATGATCAACGACAACCCCCAATTGATGTTGAGTCTTCGTACGTAGCCTCGACCGATATCTGATCTTCTCAATTGCGGAGGAGACGTTGTTTGTTCGGCCCCCGGAGCCACAAAATTTGCTGCCGCTTGAGGTTAAGTGGAAGTGCTGACCCGGGGAAAAGGTGGAAGCTACAATCGCGTTCTCGACGCGTGCCTGCCCAAGCACCGGCCAAGCAGTGTACAAACGACCCCACCCCACTCTGTCAATGGGTACGTCCACGTTAGCGGGAAACCCCTGGTGGCTCAGTGACTTTTGGCGTGGAAGCTGGAGCTCCCCTTCCTGCGCAGGGGTCTTTGATTGATTGTTGACTTTACTACTCCGTACATCGACAACTGGGCCATTAAGCTTCACGGGCGACGCCTTACCGACGACTCGAAAGGGGTGCATTGCTAGACAACGCGTCCTCATCCACCGAATTCCCCAATTCTTCCCGGATTCTTCGTCATGGCGTTGAATCGGAAATACGCAGCATTACCAGACCTTGTCAGCATACTTGTACTACTAAATACCAAGAAGACAATACTGACGAGGTTCAGGACTCGGCCCCGGACGTGTACGAGACGCCAGAGCTGACAGACGATACCTCCACTGTTCCTGTGCGTTCCTTACCCTGAGATCGTTTGCTATGGCTGACCAGCGCGCAGACAACAACCGGACAATCGCATTCGGATGACGATTTCGACGACGACCTCGACGATGACGCCAACGGCATTTCAAGGTCCCGACTTCGGGTAGATGAAGCACGATCTCGCTTCCTTCCGGCGGGCGTGGACGCCACAGGGGTCGACTTTTCCGATCGAGTAGACGGCAAGCGCAAATCGTACAAAGCATCAACGCGACGCCAGCGTTTCCTGCAGGATGGTACGGAGCAATTCGGCGATCTTAGTGATGAGGACGATGAGGACAGCCTGGAACGCAAGATAGCGCGGCTGCAACGAGAAGTAGAGGAAGCCAAAGAGGAATACGGGAAGAGGAAGGAGGCTGCAGCAAAATCTACGACAGGAGACCATGACGAGAATTTAGGGTCTCTCAGCAAGGTCCTGGACGAGATCTCCAAAACTCTGGAACCGCATACGAGCGCTTCTCGCGCACCTCAGCCAGTGTCTCAATCATCTGGACCATCTAAGAATGAATCGCAAGACTTGGTGGCACCGGGGAACTCTGCGACCTACACAGTAACGTATGCTCCTACCTACGAACAGAGTCACGCTCTCGCCACCGCCGCGGACTTTGACCGACGACTGGCCCTCCTTGAGAAGGCAATCGGAGTAGGATCAACCGCCCTGCCGGAAGTCGACATCAATGGTCTGCCCAGAGCCATTCTTCCCACGCTTGATGGGCTTCAGAAGCAGATTACGACTCTGTCGCAGGCGTCAACATCGAATCTGGATTCAATCAGCCGTCGAGTCCGTACCCTCATCCAAGAAGCTCAGGAGCTGGAAAAGGCACGCCAGGGGGCTAAATCTGCGCAAGAAACCCTCGGCAATGGTACGGCTCCTAGCGAGGATGCCCCGGCTCCCGAGCAGCTGGCAAAGATTAACGCTCTTTATGGGACTTTGCCGACCATTGAGAACCTCGCTCCTCTCTTACCACCATTGCTTGACCGCCTGAGGTCCCTACGCGCAATACACTCTGACGCTGCCACTGCTGGCGAGATGCTTGGCAGAATTGAAAAGCAACAAACCGATATGGCGACGGACCTTAAGCAATGGAAGGATGGTTTGGAAAAGGTTGAGGAGGCGATGAAGGAGGGTGGCACTGCCATGACCGGAAACATGAAGGTGATGGAGGCATGGGTAAAGGACTTGGAGGGACGCATTGCGAAGTTGCCATAATTGACTTCTGCCGTCAAAAGATACCCCTGCTTTAATCGATCAATCGAGCCGAGTTAAAAAATCTCTTGCTAATGTGTCCATAATGTGGCTGTCGATGTGTCGTTGTAGAATGGCTAGGCCCTTACGAGGTTTTAGGATCTGAGCTCCCAACTTCGACGTGCATGTATGTCACCACAAACCCGACTATGAAAAGCCAGATATAACCATCAAAGCACCTTCGGTGAACTCCGCAACCCGATCAAAAAACATTCAAGATGTCAGATGCGTTCGAAATATAGCGAACTTATTGCCAGTCTCTACTTCCGCAGACGCCCACCCTGCTTCTGTCTGATGCATCGTCATCTGTTTCTTACAGTAAGGTAGAGTGATCAATAGACAATGCCCTTCATATTCCTATTTCTGGGCTATTAAGGTATGCAGCACAAATATGGGGTTGGAGATGGGTTTCGGTAAGCGGTGAACACGGCAGAAACCAGATGGACAATGCGACCACCTCCCGACCAATGAGAGATCGCTGGGTCTCTAGCACGCACCGTGGAAGGGTTTCCTTTCGCTAAAGCCCTTCCACAAGTCTTCGTAGCGAAAAAAAGATCGTACTCGCAGTCAACCATCAACCCGCGCAGCCCACCACCCAGCAGCACCTTCGCAACCACATACATGTACGTGTCGCGACGCCCGAGAAAAATTGACAGAGATCTTGATCGACTGACGTAGAATTTCGCCCGCAGTCAAAATGGATTCCGCTAAGCAGCCTGTCAAGCTTGTGAAGGTCACCCGCGTCCTGGGCCGTACCGGTATGCCCCGCCTCTCCCCCGAAAAATAGAGAAACGAAACCCTTCCCGACGAAGATCGAATCCCCGATTGCAACCGAGACGGAAGGAGGGACGAATTTTTGGCAGATTTTCTGACTGCGTATAGGCTCCCGCGGTGGTGTCACCCAAGTCCGCGTCGAGTTCATGGACGACGAGACCCGTTCCATTATCCGTAACGTCAAGGGACCCGGTAAGCGACCACCGAATACCTGCGACCGCCTTCTCACCGAAAGAGGGGGCAACAGCGACAACCGCGCGAAGGGAACCAAGAATACTGGCTAACATCTTTCTCTCTCTCTCTAGTCCGTGAGGACGATATCCTCTGCTTGCTCGAGTCTGAGCGTGAGGCCCGCAGACTGAGATAAGGCAGCTGAATAGGCGGCGGCGTGTGTTATGGACATTACGAGGAACGGAATCATGGTTCTGAGGATGGGACAGGAACATTGCGAGGGCTTCGTCACCCGAGCCCACGGCTTTCGTGCTTAGAGGAGTCAAAAAACGGATTCTGCATTGCGAATACAGCAAGGTTCTCCCACCCAGCCGCGAGGCAACTCTGCACGAAGAACGACCTCGTGTACCTGTTTGTGATGCGACGCTGGAAGGGGCAAAGGGAACGGCGTCTACGAGATATATCAATCAATGGACAGCCTGGGAAAATTCATCAAACATCTTCTGCACCAATTCTTGCATCTCGACTGACTGCTTTGTGGTTCACGCTGCTTGGATGATGATACTGTCCCCTCGGGAAACGATGTGAGAATGCGACGTGTGCAGGGGAAAGTCTCAATCAATTTGATTATCAACGTAGTCTTGGAACTCTCCTTCAGCATCAACTTCTCCAGACTGCAACTGTCATCACGATCGCGAATTGCCCCGCAAGCTGCGCCTGAGAGCCGCAAAGCGCAAGGCCGCAAATTCCTTGGAAGTGTCACGTGATTGGGGGCCAACGAAAATTTCCTTGGACTGCCCCACTCCCTCATCTCTTGCAGCTATAAACTTCTCTGGATTCCCAATCACCTTGGACTTTTTTTCTTCCTTAACCCTCAACCCTTGAAAGGGGGCATTTTGCGAAGTGGTAAGTCAAACAGTCTCTATTTTTGCTCGTTATAACAGTTGGGATGATGTATCCAAATTAGCATGTATTACCTGAATCCTTTTGATGTATCAAAATTATCACCAAGATCTCTGACACCAACACTATCAACTACTCTTTTGCGTTCACTCCAAGCTTTTGTAGCATTGGCTAACCCAAACAAAAGATTGCAGATCTCTACCAATCATACTTCGAACATGGCTGCGGCTCCCAGGCCACCCAAAGACCACTTCAACGTCTTGTTCTTTGCAAGCGCGGGCTCCTTCACATCTAAGCAATATGAGGTGTTGCCGGCCCCTCTCCCCTTGAAGAAGCTATTCGATGCGCTTGAAGAGAGACACGGCGGGTTCAAGGAGAGGTTCTTAGAGTCGTGTCTGGTGACGGTCAACTTAGAATACGTAGATATCCCTGGGCCGGAGGACGAGGACGGTCCGATATTACGGTCCGGCGATGAAGTAGCCATCATTCCTCCGGTCAGCTCCGGGTGAAGGGGTCCCGTCGGTGGCAGCCATCGTATCTGTGACTTGGTTCCATCATGTCGTCATGGGCACAGCAGGAGTAAATCCCTCCGTCAGCTCTTATTTTTCGCTACGTGCCATCTCGCGTGCTTTGCGCTTGACCCAGTAACGGGTCGCGTTCGCCGTCCTGTCCTTGCGGTCGTTGCCAAAATTGTACTCGGCTCCAGTCACGCTTCCACACTCGCCACCAGTCCGGGTCCTGCTTACTCCGTCGTCTCCCCCAGCGGACGCCGAGCACGATCAAGGCCACCAACAAGACCACGATGAAAGTCGACACTATGGAGATGATGGACGTCAGACTCGTAATAGTCGAAACCTGGCAGCCCAACGGCTTGGTGCGCAACTCCCATCGTTCCGCCCAGTGCGGACAAATGTTCTCGTCGTAGGCGGGTGCCAGTAACGGAATCGCGTACGAATTAGGGACACAGGCGGACGTCTATATCAAGGAACGCAGACACAGCATCACGAATTAGCACACAAAATTTCCTTTCATCGTTTCCGATTTTGGGCGTGGTAGAACGGTACCATGGGACACCAGCTGCATTCGTTCTCCGCCAGGCACACCTTGCAGTCCTGGTGGTTCCAGCACCGGAAGAAGTGCTCTTCGGACGATTCCCTGGCTGATGAGAAGTTGTGCTTCAGTTGCCATAATTCTTTGGTGCTGAGTTTGTCCATCTTGTGAAAGTCCGGTACGGCGGCACAGGCGGCAGTAAAGCGCCTAACCTAGCCAATTGGTGATTACGATTGCGATTGCGGGTGGAAAGTGAATCTTGCGATGGAAGTTCCCAGTGGGACGAGTACGGGATGACACCGGAGTTGTGCGGGGAAGGAGCTGGTCGAGTTGGAGTCCGTGCGCCTCATACTTGGATCGCAGTCTGTCACAATTCCTGACTTCAACAAGCCTCGCGCTTCAAATCATAGAATCCTAATACCCATTAGATGCATACAAGAGATGCTTCATACATCGTCTGAGAACATTTCGTTTGAGCCAGTTCAGCAGAGAACCTTAAACGCGGTCGTTCCTCGGACAATTCCCCCAAAAGAAATTCAATATGACAAATTACGGCAGAATGTCCATTTGAGGTGTCCTTTCAAGGCATCACCAATATGCGGCGGCCATGGGACTAGGCGGCCACCGGACACCGGCTACTATGCAGGTACCGTCGCTTGACGGTTGCTCCCACGGGAACGTCAATTTCTTGGTCCTGCGGCTTGCTACGGAGACTTCTCAGGGGCCAGTCCTGGAGGATGGGTGCTGCGCTGCAAGCAATATAAGCAATTGGTCCCAAGATCACGGATTCGACGATCCCCCATCAATCGGCAACTTGGGAATAATACCCTTAGCGGCGACATGCCGGCAATTTATGGATAAATTACCCCTGCCTTCGAGAAGCAGCCGCAAGCCGACAACAGCTCGACAAGTATGTGATTCGAAAGCTGCTTACTTTTCTTCAAGGAGGCCTTCGGATACAGCTACCGGTGTGAGTTGGACTTTGTGCATCAAGATACTTACAGCTGTGGTGGTTACATGAGAAGATCATCTACGTGTATATCGGTCTGGTTCTATTACGGGCCATGCAATTATTGCTGTTACCGAGGCTGTCGTGAGCTGTCATGAGCCGCCTAGACTGTCCACAGACTGCCGTTGATCGAAAAGTCGGCCCGGTTCGAAAGACACTACGGACAAGAGGAAGCACGAAGGCGGCTGACTACCTACCTATGTCTCGAACGCGACCATCGACTTGCGAGTCTGCAATGAGGAACGCGTCGGCTGAGAGCCGACTACGGTTAATTGTATTGCAACTCCGTTCGTGTTGGTTCAGTCACGGGCAAGACCCTGCAATCCAATGTTCTGCCGTTGGCATAGCGCGATCTTCCCTCTATCAACCACTACCGGGCGTCATTCAGCCTGATATCAGGCTAAATGGCTAAATGCATCGGGTGCCCTGGGTGGCGCCGGTCAACGACGTGGTATCCTGGCAGAAACCCCCATGTGAGGCAGCGGCGCAGTAGCCATTTTTTCAACCTCACGCTAGGAATCTCCAACCCCTCGAGTCTTCTCCAACAGTCAAACTTGGACACGGTGCGATTCTCAGCGTTGTCGTGGGGCTCCGCAAATGCATCTCCACGACCCACGACGGTTTAGTGTAGAGGCAAGACCGTTCGACTAGGGAACTCGATCATTCATGCTGGGTATGAGCTGCTCAAGTGTCGTACCACTGACAGGCCTGGTGTGCGAGGCCTTCCCCAACACCCCCCACCGCTGTTTACACCCACGCTCGGAAGCACCCACGTGAACTCTTCACCTGGCAAGGATCCTGGCGAAAGTCACTCAAGGAGTGATCTGACTGAGAATGGCAGGCCTTACCACTCTCCAGTCCTCTTTACAGGGCGGGATGGAATGCAAAGTCGGGCTGTTCCGCTTCATCGTGGATCGACTGACAGTCGAGCAGCAGTATCGACGGAAGAATCTTGGCCCTCATGGTGACCCTCCGCACAGCGCACGCCCACGAATCCACACCCTCAATGACCTTGGGGAGGGTGGGTCTATGGGTACTCAGAGAGGAGCGGTTCTCGGCCGACCAAGTTACGAGAGATTCGCATGCACCCGCTGTCGCCCCATTGCTGCGGAATCCATCCCGCCGGCACGACGACTGATCGCGCTGAAAGCGACATACGGCGTCAAGAGGCATATCACGTCGCCATTACTCACCGTGTGAGAAGCAGACCTGTCTCTAGAATTTGAATACGCCTCAGTGGTTTGAGTAAGCGCAAAAGGCTCGTCTAGCTTTTGGTACCAGGCCCGCAACCCGTGTCCTCAAAATAACACCAATGGCACGGTGGAAAGCTTTACCGAGGGTGTCTCTCTCAGCAGGGGTCGCTCCTCGACAAAGTTGCATCGACGGGACGGAGGTGTCTGCACTTTCGGTTTGGCCTACCGCCTCATCGCAGCAAACTTTGGTCCCCGGACATGAGTACCGAGCACCTTATTGAAGCATTTACTGTTTTTCATGCGTCGAAAGAGCTTCCCGTTTTCACGTGGCGAGCAAGTTTTCTCTCATTTCCCCCAGAAATTATTGGGATAATACGCGTGAGAAGCAACCATTGACTGATATTTCGTTGCGGCCCGGCGTGATCACTGCATCAAGCCGGCCCAGCAACGGCACGGCACACGGAAACACACGGAATAGAAAGTGTACGGAGTATACCTGGCGAGTCACGGAAGCGTCATGCCGGGTTTAAGTCGAGTCGCCATGTTCCCAGCGCCCACATTCTAGTGGTAAAGACGACCGATTTTAGCTTAGCGATGAGTCGTCCACCTCGGCCTTGTCTTCCCCGCAGCGGTCGACTAGTCAACCCCAAACTCGTCTAATTTTGCGGTTCTTTTTCTCTCTGTCCTCACTTGCTTAGGATATCTCTGGGGTTAACTCTTAAGCGGCCGGCAAAAGTTGTCCGTCTTTTTCAGCCTCTTGTCCGAAACTTCAGCCATTGACGTCAAGCGAGAAGCTCCCGGAACTGGCCTTCTCATCACCTCAATCTTCATACACGTATGTTTACAACTTTCAGTCGTAGTCGAGCATGTCGAGTCATCTTGGGGAAAGAGAATGGGACAACGGGCGGGACCGTCGCAGTCTCCACTTGAAAGACAACCTCCCTGCTTACCTCCACCTCCTTCTCCACGGGACCCCAGGGGGAACGTTCAGCAAAGTGGGAACTCTCACACCTTTCGCCCTTTTCCCATCTAGTCTTGTCCTTGTCTAGTGGGTTGAAGTGTCCACACAGGCGCCCGGCAAAATACGTTTGCCAAAGTTTGGAGAAATAGGTGTCCGATTCGCATTCACCCGTTCGGACGGCAGCAGATTTCTTGGGGAAGAGCCTAGTTCGGATAGGTTTACGCCGTACGGGTAGAGAGTAGAGGAAAGCCTCCCGCCCCTCGTGACTTGATACTTCTCGGAGTCAAACTTGGCAGCGAAGCTTTGTCTTGAAACGGTTCAAGCCCATCGCATTTTGCCGGGAGACAGTGGCAATCCCCTGCGCCGCGTACGCACTAGGAGATTCCATGGGCCTGACAATTTACCTGGGCCGGCAGGCTGCTTCGTCCTCGTGCAGGACGATATTCTCAGAGTCGCTATGATATTGACAGCTGATTGGGAACCGGTCGACCTCCGCTAGGATTTCACGCAAAGGATCCCAACCAAGTGGTTCCAGCTTCCATCACCCCCCCGCCCCCAAGAAGACCAGTCTCTAGACCTAGGCCTTCCCGGTCCGATGCCCCGTCTGAAGCTGTTCGCACTGTTTATTCTTTGCTTCCCATCTGTTCGTCTTATGATCCACAGCTCCATATAATAAGACCTGGAGACCCCGCGTCGTAGATTGTAGTTGTCCTTCTCGCCCTGTCCGTCCCTCTCAAGTCATCCTCTGGCCCAAAACAACACGGAGACCTGCTTCTGGCTCTTGCTCTGGTCGCCGGCAAAAAGCCAAACGTCAACTTACCACGACAAACCCACACACGATATATAGCTCCATTGAGCAGACGCCAAAATGGGTTTCCTCAAGGGCGTTACACAGAAGAAGACCAACAGCGAGGCTGTTGTCATAGCTCAGGAAGAGGCGCCGGATTTTGAAAAGGTCAACTGGGTGAAGGACCCCGGTCTGAGGAAGCTTTACTTCTACGCCTTCGTTCTTTGCATTGCCTCCGCGACTACTGGTTACGATGGGTAAGTTGCGCAAACGATCTTGAAAGAGAACACAATCAGGCCCATTTGCTGACAGTAACGTGATTTGCAGCATGTTCTTCAACTCTGTCCAGAACTTCGACTCATGGCAGTCCTTCTTCGATCACCCCAAGGGAGGCCAGCTCGGTCTTCTCGGTGCCTTCTACCAAATCGGCAGTCTGGTTTCGATTCCTATTGTGTAAGCGACGTTCTCGCACAAAGCCCCCGGGCGATCAACAAGTTTACTGACCCTTTTGAAGCCCCTTCATTGCCGACAACTTTGGCAGAAAGATTCCCATTGTCATCGGCTGCTTGATCATGGTTGCCGGTGCCGTCTTGCAGGGCGCCTGCACAAGCATGGGCAGTAAGTAGCTACAAAGATGTAGCAGCGGTTTCTCAGAGGCTGACCATCCGCAGTGTTTATGGGCGGTCGTGTCCTTCTTGGTTTCGGCAACTCCTTTGCCCAAATCACTTCACCCATGTTGCTCGCTGAGCTTTGCCACCCCCAGCATCGTGCTCGCTTGACGACGGTTTACAACTGCTTGTGGAACGTCGGTGCCCTCGTCGTCGCCTGGCTCTCTTTCGGAACCGACTTCCTCGGAAACGAGTGGTCGTGGCGTATCCCTGCCATTGGCCAGGCGGTGCCCTCCGTCATCCAGCTCGCCTTCATCTTCTGTAAGTCATCTTCATGAATCGAGGTTCTCCGTCAGATTCTGACTGGTTATCAAAACAGGGGTTCCCGAGTCTCCCCGTTATCTCATCGCCAAGGACCGCCACGACGAGGCCCTCGCGATCCTGGGCAAGTACCACGCCAACGGCGACACCAACAACCCCACCGTCCAGTTCGAGTTCCGCGAGATTCGCGAGACCATCAAGCGCGAGATCGCCGCCAAGAACAGCAGCAGCTACCTCGACTTCTTCCGCACCGCCGGCAACAAGTACCGATTCATCGTCCTCATCTCCCTCGGTCTCTTCTCGCAGTGGTCCGGCAACGCCATCATCTCAAACTACACAAATATCCTCTATGCCAACGCCGGCATCGAGAGCTCCACCGCCCGCCTCGGCCTCTCCGCCGGCCAGACCGGTCTCTCCCTCATCACCTCCCTGACCTTGGCCATGCAGGTCGACCGCTTCGGTCGCCGACCCATCTTCCTCGCCTCCACGGGCGGCATGCTCATGACTTTCGTCTTCTGGACCTTGTCTGCCGGCCTTTACGAGGAGCACGGCTCGCCCGGCTCCAACTACGCCATGATCTTCTTCATCTGGCTGTTTGGCTTCTTCTACGCCTTCGCGTGGTCCGGTCTCCTCATCAGCTACTCCATCGAAATCCTGCCGTACAAGCTGCGTGCCAAGGGTCTCATGATTGTCAACTTGACCGTCCAGGCCGCCCTCACGCTCAACAACTACGCCAACCCCTACGCGTTTGACTACTTTACCGGCCACACCTGGAAGCTGTACCTCATCTACACTGTAAGTTTTCACTCTGCTTCGAGGTCAATGAACATTTTGGCTAATGATATTGCGTTTCACAGTGCTGGATCTTCCTCGAACTCGTCTTTGTGTACCTCTTCTACGTCGAGACAAAGGGCCCTACGCTCGAGGAGCTCGTCAAGGTCATCGACGGCCCCGACGCCCAGGTTGCGGACCTCGATCTCGCGCAGGTCGAGCAGGAGATCAAGCTCGGTCACGAGGCCGAGGAGTTGGAGCACAAGCGCGGTTGAGAGAGGCTATGTGTGTGTGCTTGGCACCATCGCATTGGGGATTTCCCTTCTCCCAATTTAGCATCTCACGGGCTTGAAGCTCCGTGACATGAAAGCATATACGAGCATGCAGATACCCCCACTACTTAATGTTGTACAGAGATCATGCGATACAGACCTTTTATAATGATACGATCAAGTATACAGACATCTTGTGTCATCTACTATCTGGTTTCATGAGGACGTGACCATGTCGGTTCACTCCATGTCATTAATCCAACGTCTAATAAAGAATTAAGCGTCAAGATCACCTTGCTAACATCTCAAGTGTGATTTATAAACTGTTCAACCTCCCAGCAAGGTATTTCCAAATATCAGTCGCTACAAACTGCCTACTGCTATGCTCTGCCATCACATCTGCGTAAACCTGTTAGCTTTCAAGTCGACTCTTGAACATCATCAGCGTGACGGCCAAGATCAGGTAGACCAGGCCGCCTTCCCACCGTCAACTAGACCCGGCCTCATCATCCCTCACCCCAACCAAAGCCTCATTCCTCTCCACCCCCTCCCCCTCCAGCTCCGCCCTCTCCATCACATCCAGCATCCGCATCCTTTCCGCAAAAACCAACGTCACCCACTTAATCTCAGCAGCCTGCCTCCTCTCGAGCTCCGCCCGCGCCCTCTCGAGCCTCTCCTCGTGCCGCATCCGCACGCTGTACATAATCTCCTCCCGGATCGTCCGCTCCTCCTCGACTTTGAGCTTGTACCGCGCCACCTCCTCGTCCCGCCACCGCTCCCACGCCCGCCATCCCTTATCCATCGATCCGCGGAACTCCCGCATCAGCACCTCGATGCGCGCCTCGCTCGAGGGGCGGTCCGCGAAGAAGCTCTCCAGCTGACGGAGGTACGCCTCTTCCGTCCTCTGCTCCGCCAGCACGCGGGCCGCGTACTCCGCCGTCAGGCTCTTGACTTTGGCGGCCAGCTTATCCGCGGCCGTTTCGACGAGGGCTCGCTGCTCGGCCTCCTGCTTCGACTCGAGCTCCGCCGTCGACGTCGCTTCCTCGTTGGCCGCGAGCTCCTTCTCCTTATCGTGCTGGTACCGCACCAGGAACTCCTGCAGGTCGTGAATCTGGTCCAGCAGCTCGCGCAGCTCCTGGAACCTCACCTCGACCTCGTACCGCCTCAGACTCTCGAGCCGAGCCCGCTCCTCCTCCCACGCAATGCGCGCCTCTTCTTCAAGCCTCTCCATCTCGAGACGCAGCAGCTCGGCTTTCAGCGCCTCCTCGCGCTCAAACTCTTCAATCTGCCGCAACGCGTCGCGGAGCTCCTCTTCGGCCTCGGCCTCGCGCCGCAGCCTCTCCCGCCGCCGCGCCGCGGCCCCGTTCTTGATGAGTTCGAGCTGGTTCATGGTGCAAGCGCACGTCCGCCACCGCAGGCCGCAGACGTAGCAGAACTGGTAGCCGCACCGGCACGTCATGTGCTGGCACGCCTCGCGGTGCTCGACGAGCGCCTGGCACCGGCCGCAGTGCTGCCACCCTTCCTCCGCGGCGAGGGCGTTCGTCAGCGCGAGGTCCCGGTCGAGCGGGCAGTCTGCGTCGTTGGCGTGGTGGGGTCCCCGGCACATGCTGCAGCTGCGGTGTCCGTCGCGGCACCGGGCCACGCGGGATGCGGCGTCGACGTGTTCGGGGCGCACCCAGAGGCCGCAGGACGGTTCGGCGCAGTAGATGCGGTCGGCGACGGGGATGGCCCACTCGGCGGCGCGGTCTTTGCAGGTCTTTGCCAGGTCGGGGGAGATCTTGCGGAGGTAGAGGCGGGTTGGGATCGGGTTGAGGCAGCATTTGGGGGGCCAGTGTTGTTCGTTTTGGACGGCGGTGGAGATGAGGCGTTCGAAGCAGTCGGGGCAGTAGCTGTGGCATGTGACTTTGATGACTTTCTTTGGGCTGAAGTCGTCAAGGCAGGAGACGCATTCGCTGGTGGGTTTGGTGTTAGATGTCGAGAATGGGTTCAGTGTTGGAAAAGGGGGTAAGGGGGATGCGACTTACACAGTAACAGGAGCTTTCTTTTGCTTTTCTGTGACAGTAGAAGCGGGTTCATCAGACACTGCTGCTTCCAGGCTCGTCTTGCTCGAGTTACCACCGAAAAGGGACGTCTTCTTCGCAACATCCTTTTCACCAATCTTTTGCAAGATTCTCGTCAGGGCGAAGCGGCTTCTTTTCTTGGGCTGGAATGGCAAGACGATGAGCCCCTGTGACAAGGTATTGCCCTCGCCCGCTCCCGTCATTTCGGGAAACAGCTTGAGATCTTCGACATTATCAACTTCTTCCGTTTCGAGCGCCGACGATGGACCGGGTTCTCCGTCCGGACTAGTGATGATGATGGGAAGATACGGCTCCTTTACCGTGCCGTCTCCCTCGTCGTTTGCGGTTGCTGCTTCGGCTTCCCGCTGTTTTTCATCTTCCTCTAGCTGCCGCCGCTGATTTTCCTCGGCGGCTCTTGCCTGAAGGTTCTCGATGGAGACCTGGAGGATCTCGAGGGCTACCGTGTTAGTGAGGTTTGGCGCTGTTCTGAGGGACGCTGGCGGGTTGTATTCAGTCCACCGGGCCTCATCCTCATCCTCGCCCTCTTGTATTGAATTCGCCTCGTTTGCTTCATTCTCATCGGCGGGATTCTGAGCTGTGATTTCTTTGTTGGTGATGGCCAGAGTAGGCTTCACCTCATCATCGTCAAAGTCTCGTAGGGTCACAAATGGGTCGCCGTAGAACCCCACGTAGTCTTCCAGGCGGGCGGGCACGTTCGTCGCAGTCTCCATCTCGACGACGGTCGACGTGGTTGTCGTCATGTACTTGGGTATAAGATGCTGTCTTAGGTAGGATGCAGATTTTGGCTCTTCGCCGATAGAGAACGGAGAGAAGAGCACAAATAACTAAACGCCACGCCGAACAGTCCATCAAGAGCGGGAAAAGTATCTATCTAGGTAGAAGTGTGTCTCATACCAGAGCACTGGCGGAAGATATGGATATGGAGAATCTAACCGATCCCACCAACGAAACGTAAGAGTCTCTCTACATGGCGTGAGCGGAAAGCGGAGCATGAAGGAAGCGAAGGTGCAGTTGGCGGCTCCTCCGAGCCTCATGACAAGCTTGAAGAGATCCCCATTTTTGGGGGATCAACGACGAGGCACCCTGATGACAGCTCACAGACCACAGGGCTGAATCTGCCCCAGCTGCACTGCTAGACTGTCGAAAGAGGCGTGGAGGTGGTATGGAGAAACACCACATAAAGTTACCATAGCATTGGCGGCGGCCAAGATCGGCTCTATCGTTTTGCGAACTTGGCCGCGGAGAAAATGGGTTGGTAGCCCGCCAACCGGGAGCTGATTAGATCAAGGCAGACTCGTCAAGCACGATGTCGCGAGGCGAGACCTGGTTGGTTGAGTCTCGTGTCTTGAAGATAAACATCGCGAAGAAGGCCGAACTGGCTGCGAGTGGGCTGCGTTGGTGTTGGGGGCGGAGCTGGGCACGTTCGGCTACTTAGCGCGCGGGCAGTGCAGTGCGCCCTGGAGGCCAGTCTGTAATAACTGCCGCAGTTGGTCACCGAAGGGGTTGCTTGGTGCCATTAGAAGGTATGTCACGCAACGCTTAGCCTCCTGAAGATTGGTTATGGATAGTTTGGCTGATGGTGAAATGTTCCAGTCGGTGATAATACGTCGTGGGATCATGTCGTACTCGCGCTGCTGTGCCTTGCAGGCCGAGTTTCCGCCGATTACGGCATAGATTGACGTCCTTGGTAGGGAGCTGGAATGGTGTCAGCCTAGAGCATATAAAGAAATGACAAAGGAATATTCAAAATAGCTCTAGATGAAAGTTTAAAGGCGTGACTTTCTCTTCCGTCTATGATTTCTGATTTCCGTCTGAAGCTGGACAGAGACGAAAGAGTGAGGATGAGGAACGCCTGCCTGGAGTTTGAGATTGGGGCACGGACCACAAGCCGATCCTTCCTGCCTGGCCTGGCTCAATGATCCATAGGTGCCAGACCCGCTGCTATTTTCACCAGCATCTGTAGTGTAGTGGTTATCATCCTTGCCTTCCATGACTCTTCGCGGTTAGCAAGGGACCCGATTTCGATTATCGGCGGATGCATGAAAGTAACCAATTCGATATCTTTTTAAGGTGCTGTTTCTTTTTCTTTTTTGACTTCGTCGAGCATGAGGTACTCTCGATTCACTAATTGCCCATGTTGTGTGTACTTTCCATGATGGGAAGAGCCGCCGCAGTTTGCATAGCTCATAATGAAGGAAGCTTGCCACCTTCCAAGGAACTCGGTATCAGGCATCTACAGGTTCTCTATGTTTCGATACGCCAACGCGTGCTACTTCGGCCGCAAATTCGGGGAGCGCCATCTCGCTGCCTCAGCCAAGTTTGTTTAGACTCCATATAAAACAACAGATTTCAGTTGACAAATGACCATGATCTTAGCAATTGGTACAATGCACCTCCCCGCCACTTTCAGCTCCATCCCTAAATCTTTGACTTGACCTTGCTGAACTCGATCTTGTTGATGCAAGAGCCCACATTCTCAAGGCCAACTTCAACAACGTCTCCGTCCTTGAGCCACAATTGGGGCTTGCGACCCATGCCAACGCCCTCGGGACTACATATACCGTCAGTCATGGGGTCGGCTAGGGCTCTTCGTTGATCTACTTACGTTCCGGTGAAGATGACGTCTCCCGGGAGCAGGGTAGTGCCCTGGCTCAAGAAGGAGATTGTCTTCTTGATGCCAAAGATCATGTCCTTGGTGTTATTATTCTGGCCCATTCGTCAGTTCTGAACCCACACTTCGTTGCCTGCGGTCCAACACCCACCTGAACGGTCTCCCCGTTGACCTTGGTAAAGATCTTGAGGTTTTGAGGATCCTTGATGACCTTGTTGGTCACAATGCCAGGCCCGAACGGCGCCCAGCCGTCAAAGCCTTTCCCGAGAGACCACTGACCGCCGCCACGCTGGATTTGCCACTCGCGGTGTGACACATCGTTGCCCACGGCGTAGCCGAGGACGTAGTTGAGGGCATCGTCCTCGGAGACGCCCGCGGCGGTCTTGCCAATGACGATGACCAGTTCGCACTCGTAGTCCAGCGTGCTGCCAGTCTGAGCAATCGGGTGCACGGGAACAGGGTCAGTCGGTCCAGCCAGAGAGGTCACAGGCTTGTACTGGGAGAAATCAGTCTACCATTTTCTTCTTTCCTCAACGAACGACGACGACTTACGAAGAGAACTGGGAATTTGGGAATTGCCATGTTTGACTAAGGGGTGATGTTAGCTATTTGTGCAGAGCCATTCCCAGGGTTCTTTGGCTCTAATCTCACCTCCTTGGCGTGGTTGGCATAGTTGAGGCCGAGGCACCGTACAGTCTTGACGTGCTCAGGCGCAAGGGGGGACAGCAGAAGGCGGATGTCGGCGACGTTTTCTGTGACGTCGTGTCTTCCAAAGATGTCGCCCGTCACGATTCTGGCTTGCCTCGCCTTGGCGATGTCAGTGACGCCGCTCGGCAGAATTGCATCGCCGTAGTACGTCTTGCCGTCCCGGGCAAGGAAGCGAACGAGTCTCTGGTGTGAGAGTCAGTATATCGGCTGCTGTCAGTCACTCCTGGGCAGCGATTGACTCACGGAAAAGGAGGCCATATTTACGACTAATCAACTGCAAGTTTGTGGTACAGGCTGAAGAAGAAACAAAGCAAGATAATGGTACAGTAGATGAGAATATGTTGCAGGTGATGGAATGTGACGAATATCGGGAGAGGAGCCGAAGACGGGACGCTGTAGCGACTGGACCCCACGAACGTGAAGCCTCCGATTACTATCCGTCGACCCCACACTTCCCCCCATAGAGCACGGATTCCAGAGCTAAACCCCGGCTCGCTGTTCGGCGTCAGATGTGCCAGAGCGAAGTGAATTGCGTAGCACTCTGGCACGCCGGCTAATGCATCGGCATCATTACGCCTTGAGCTCCCGGCAGCTGCGCAGCACTACAGGTGTGCACCTCTTCCGGATGCGACTCCACAATTCCGAGGAGCTCCTTCCAGCATCATGCCAATGCCAATGCCAATGCTGAGTCATCCAATCGACCTCCGACTTCCGCCGTTCCTCATTGGCCCGAGCTACAACGATGGAGCTCTCTTTCTCATGGTTGACATCAATGATTCGACATTCGAACTTTCTCGTTACGGTCCTCTCATGAACCATCAGAAGAGCATTCCTTCCGCAGTATCGCCGATTTGACGTTCGAGATGGCAGTACCGAAGCGCGGTCTTTCTGGCCTTCAACGGGAGGTTTTGGCACTCTATCGACAATGTATCCGGGAAATTCGGAAGAAGCCAGAGGTAACATTTCTTCAACGTCTTCGACTTGCATGTGAGATGTTAATACCGTTATAGACTGCACGACCTCATTTTCAATCTTTTGCCAGGCAAGCTTGTGCACCAGCTTTCTTATGTGCCGCATACCACCATACTGACCAACACATTAGGACAGAGTTTGAAAGGTACATTACGGTCGACAAGCGCGACTTCTCCGTTGTAGAGCATTTATTGCGGAAGGGCCGCCGCCAGCTCGAGACGTACTCTTCACCGAGTATCAAGGACATCAGCCGGTGAAGAAACCACCATCCTCATGCCAAGAAACTGGGCTTATTCACATCCTTCTTCACACGGTTCCGTGTAATGTTGGGAAGGAACGTCGACTTTAATGTCCAGGGCCACGCGCAAGGCACAGCACCGACTGCCTCCCCTCTGTATCACCATATGTCTCTCCTATGCTACGTTTTTGTTACCTAAACCACATGATACCAACGCAAATTCTTCTTTGGATCCATCGCTACTATTCCAGTGCAGCGAGCATGGACGATGCTTGATTGCGATAGAGTCTTCCGAGACTGCAATTGTATTTCACCTTGTTCACCACCGCCGCCCATTCTTAAATCTGAGCCGACACAAGCACACCAGGCAGCAGAAGACGTCTTCCGCAAGCCCATGAATCGGTCTGTCGAGAGTCTCCGTCGTCAGCAACGCATAATTGTTCATACAGAGCGCGCCAGCAGAGCCAGGCTCCCATCCGGTAAGGTTACCGGCTCTCGAACCACTGTAGCATCCGCGAGAAGAGCGAGCCAACTTGTCCCGATCATCGTCTCCCAAGAGCGAGAGCTAGAAAGACTGCGCAGTATTGTGGCCTCGGACGCTCTTCAGCCCTTGACGCCGACCTCTCGAAGGCACAACAGACCCTCAATACAAAGGACGCCACCTGCGTGGTATATCGCGATGGACCCTGCGGTTCAAGCCGGTCCTAGATCGCCGAGACCACGAGGCTCTTCTTTTCGCTACCAACGTGCTGTTCCAAATCGGGCATCAAAGCCACGTCCCGTCCGTAGAAGACCAGTTGCAGGTCCTTCGGGATCCCCAAGTCAGCCAAAACCGCCCAACTTTGGCAACAGTCCATCCAGAATCCGAGGTCACCCTCTGTCGGCCATGGCGGATCCTGGCCACACCTTTCAGCACCGCGAATCGGTGGCATCCCACGAGAGAAGATTCGGAGTTGCTGATCCACAGCTGTAGGAAGCTGTTCGTCGGAGTCTTTCGCAGCAAAGCCGAGTATCCCTTGTTGCTTCGCCATCAAATAGATCATCAAATCAATCTTTCCGAGCACCTCAACCTCCATCGAGAACCTCCAGCCGGCGCCGGGAAGTGAATCGTTTCGCACGGCAACTAGAGATATATGCTGAACGTAGAAAAGCTGCAGGAGAGCTACCTGTCTCTACCCCGACACCAGAGTCGGTTACATCGCTTCACACAGTTACAGCTCTTCTTCCGTATGAGGAACAGTTCCAAGCTGTTGGTCTAGCAGTGACTTCTGAACAGCAGCGTCAGAAGTCGCCACCCAAATCGTCTCCCAAAAAGGACATGAAGACGAAGAATCCACCAGCCATCGAAGCAGAGCCAATATCGAATCGCTCTAGGGACACCAGAAAACAAGCTGAACCAGGCCACCTTCAGCTTAATGGCTTGAGGAGCGCTTCAACAAGCTCATCCGATCCATCAAATTCTGGTACGCAGGTTGCCTTTGCACAGCCAGACGCCTGGGAGCTCGCCTTTATCGACGAAGTTCCCGCCAAGAAAGAAAGCTCTACTTCGAGATGTTGTAACCTACCTTGCTTCCAAAATACGAGAGACCAATCGATCGACATGCCAACGGGTCGGCTACCTCCCGCTCCGACGCCGACAACAATTGACACGCCAAACAAGATATTGGCAAAGTGGGAACCAGTCTACCCCCAGAAGACAGAGGCGCTACAGGGCTGGCGTAAGTCGAGCTCTATAATCGTCGGCCAAATCGTTGCTGACTCTTTCAAAGGTAAGAAAGCCTCTCGAGATGTTCGAGCCAAAACATGGCACGGCAACACGGCACAGCGTCCATCAACCTATCGGCCACTCAGGGAGGCTTCCCCTTCTCGCAACGAGACAGAAGCACCAAGTCCCAAAAGCAAGTCTCCAAGGAAAGCGGTACCTCATGACTTGGAGGACGATAAACCGCCCATACCTCCAAGGGCCCAAGCTCGTATCGATCGTTCGAGGAAGCAATCAAAGGCGCCAAAGCTCGAATCTTCAGCCCCTAAGGGGATACGTAAGGAGTCTCAGCAAAACGTGTTTTCAGATCAGGAAAACTTCCCACCAGGAGATAAAGCCCTTCCTGTCATAGCCAAAAGACCAGTGAAAGCCACCGTATTATCAGAGTCAGACGAGAACACGGTCGAAGTACAGGCTCAGGAGTCATACAAGACCAAAATCTCCACAGGATCGAAACAGCCAGCTGGCGTTGTAGACAAGCCTCTCAGGGTTTCGATCAGGCAGCCTGAACGCAAGGCTAAGGAAAAGGCCGCTCTTCTGAACAAGCCTACACAAACGGATTTTGAGCATCCGCCAATTTTCCAATCTGGGAGGATGTTCAGAAGCCTACCGGGACCCGCAACAGAAGTGGAAAGAAGAGAACGGTCGGCTCAGACGAGTCGCGGAACTATGACACCTAACCCTGCTCTACCGTCCACATGGAAACTGACCTTGAGCTCATCCTCGTCACTTGAGGTAGCCATGGAAGCCGCTTCACGGGAAATGGAGATGCAAGAAGCCAGGCGATCCAGGCATGAGACACTCAGAGGACAAGACTCGGAGGCACAAGCTATTCCCTACATGGCTGCAGAAGCCGAACATGACGAGCCACTTCCAGAGCCCGTTGACGAGGAGGCTCCCTTACCCTCAGCTGAACAACCCGAAGAGGGACGAGAACCGCTGCGAGGTAGTGATAACTCGGACCCCAAGGAGCAGGACGACAAAGACATTGATGACAGAGATGTTTTGCGAGGTCTCCACATCGCCATATCGGCTGCTTGTAACGAAGAGGTCGACGCATGGATCCGACAAAAGACGGGTGTGCGCATTCGTCGATTCTTAGCAGACTTGAAGGCCTTTGAAACGCTGGGTGAAGAGGCCCAACCGGATCCAGCCAAAGAGCGCGCGAGGAACAGGAGAGCCGACTCGAGGAAACTCAAGGCACAGATTCGACAATCTAAAGCTGCCAGGGAAGCAAGAGCAGCAGCACAGTGACATCGACGCATGGGATGTTGTTACTGCTTGCGAAGATCAGGAAAAGGGCTTGACTTTATGTAGTAGTTTTAGATTCTGTGCCACTACCACTAAGGGGCACCAATCCTAATTGTCTACCTCACTGCCTAATACCATGATGATTCAACAATGTCGGCTGGCTCGTAAGCCGCCATTTATAGCAATTTGAGGCCCGGGGGACCGTGTGAGACTTGATGCAATTCATGTAGTTCATTCAGCCGAGGTTGCCCTGATAGGTCCCGATCCTCGTCTATCGTCTAGACCGAATAAGTCTTGTCTTTTCTATCCTTTGTCCGGACCATTATCCCAAAGCTGAGGAGGACTACACACGCCTCTCCCCGCGGCCTCCCCTCCACTCCCTTCTTGTCTTGGGTCCCTCCTCGCCGGTCATCTCTGAAATATAAACCTAGCACTCTCAGTGGTGCCTCATGTCTCTCTTGCCATGATTAATACAAATGTCTCCGGACCCCCTACTCGCTCGCTCTCAATGTTGTGGTACTATGTCGTACAACTCTGAACAACGCTGGACGGATGTAATGTAGGCCGCAAAGGCGGTCAACCGGAATGAATGCGGAAAGTGTGTCGAGTCGAATCAAATAAAATGATCTCTTTTTGTCTCAAGATGAGAGAAGACGTCGAATCATGAAGGAGTCAACTGATCCGCCATCATCTTTCGAACCTCCTTCTCCAAGTTCTCCTCGGCATTCTTGTCGTCCAAATCCTCCACCGCACCAGTGACCTTCTCGGCGAGCTCAATCTTCTTCTGGCAGGCTTTATAGATGAGCTCCTCAATGGTATGCGATGTCAGCAAGCGAATCACCTCCACATCCCGCGTCTGGCCGAGGCGGTGAGCTCGGTTCTCGGCCTGAATGTCGTCCTGCGGGTTGTCGGATTGATCAAAGATGATGATCTTATTGGCAGAGGTCAAGTTGATGCCAGTGCCACCAGCGCCCGTCGTGAGCAAAAAGGCTGTGATATCTGTATCGTTGTTGAACTCGTCAATCAGATCCTGGCGCTCGGCGACGTTGGTCTGGCCATATAAGACGCAGTGCCTGATGTTATCGGTGTGAAGGACCTCCCGTAGGATCTCAATGACCTTTGCAAATTTGCTGAAGACGAGGACGCGGTCGCCGTTGTCGCGATACTGGTGGATGAGCTCTAGTAGCTTGACGACCTTGCCACTGTCCATCCAAGAACCCTCAGGGACGTCAAGATGCCTGATACAAGCGTAATCACGGCACCAGAGATGCAGCTCGAAATCGGAAGAATTTTGCAGCTCCCCAATAAGATGGTCAATCCGCGGTTGTTGCAGCTCGGATTGCGGAACCTCTCGCATCAAAATATTCGCCATCTTCTCAACCTTCTTGTTGTCAAAGTAACGACGGAATAGTTGCGGGTGAAGGGCCGCCTTCCGAAGCTGCATCCAGCTGTTGTTTTGGTCGCTCTGACGCCCGGTTGTCGTCTTCTTGACCGGGCCAGCCTTGAAAAGTCGCTCGTAGTCCTCGTACAGTTCCTTCTGTACTCCTGGTGCCAGATCGCAGTATGCGACATTGCAAATCTTGGCCGGCATGTCAGAGAGCACCTGCTGCTTGCGACGCTGCAGGATGAACGGTTCCAGAATCGTTCTGGCTCGGCTGACACGCTCGCCGTAGAGGAAAGCACCATTGTTGACATCGCGAATGGTGACCTTTTGGCTGAACATGTACTGGAGCTGGTCCATCCGACCGTTGAACTGGAGTGGGTCAATGAAGTTCAACAACGCCAGCATTTCCATCAAGTTGTTCTGAACAGGTGTTCCGGTGAGAAGCATTCTCCAACCGGCCTTGATCCTGATCAAGTCCTTGTAAATCTTGGTCTTGGGGTTCTTCATCTTGTGCCCCTCGTCAAAGATGGCTGCGGCTGGCTGCAACTCTCGGAGAGCCTCCAGGTCCTCCTCGGAGCCGACTTGGGTATAGGTCGTCAAGACGACGTGGTAGTCCGCCGGGTTCTCGAGCATCTCGTATGCTATCTCTCTACGTTCGGCTTGAGGACCTTGATATGCAAGAATCGAGAGGTCGGGAGCAAAGCGCTGGAACTCTCCCATCCAGTTTGAGAACGTCGACGGTGGTACAACCACAAGATTGGGCCACGGCCTCTCACCCTTTCCGGTTTTCTCGTAGTTTTCGACAAGATGACAGATGAGAGAAATGACCTGGCAAGTTTTGCCTAGCCCCATCTCATCGGCTAGAATGCATCCGTAGCCACTGTTGTACAGGAGGGACATCCAGTTGAGACCGAACAGCTGAAAGGGACGCATAGTGCAGTGCCCATCCATGAACTTCGGCTGGCAGGAGATTGGCGGCTCCGAAAGCTTTTGAGTGTGGAAGCTTGTCGGTGTCAGGGGGAGATCGCTGTTAGTGGAGGAGCTCTGTGTGCTCCGTTTCTGACCCTTCACATCGAGGTCCCATCGGCTGATCTCCTGCTTGACCTTGTTCGCCTTCTTCTCGCATTCGGCTACCACTTCGTCAATGGCATTGACGCTGCGAGTGAATTCCATGATTGCATCGACCAAGGTCTCTCCAATTGGAACCTTAGGCCTCCTGCTGCGAGCGTTTGCCTTCTTGGCCACCGAAACGGCTTGTACCTCGCTAATGGTATCGAAAGGCCTCTTCGTCTCAATAATCTTCAGCTCGTCCATCTTGATATTCGTCATGGCTGACAGATCCGCGATCGAGCTGGTGTTGATGGCTTGGAGAGCCTTGTCCTGCAGACTGTCCTTGACCGCCTCGTTCAATTCATCCTCGTTATCAAAATCCTCGTCTTCATTGTCATCAGGAATGATGATAGGCTCGTCCACTTTGTCGGCGGCAAGCTCGTCTAGGGACGGCTCGTCTTCGTGAGCCTGCTGGGACGCAGGTGGAGATCTACCGGGGCGACGACCTTGCATCAAGCGCCTGCGCTTGGGCTTTGGTGGTGAGGGGGTGGTGCTTCGAGAAGGTGTTGGTAGAGTCGGGGCATGTCGCCCGAGTAGTTTTGGCTTGCTGGGTGAGCCGGGTCTGCCTGACTTGCGGTCCATGTTCTTTGTTCTTTCGTCGCCAACGGTTATGCTTGGCTTGGTAGAGCTCACGAAGCTGTTGACTTTGGGCTTCAGATGCCGACCATCCAACAAGTAGTTGATTGCGTCCTCAACATTATTGTGGCATGCGGTCAAAGCTTCCTTATAGTATTGAACCGGTATCGTGCCGTTGAGCGCCTCAGAAACCTCTTCAATCTTCTTTTGCAGCTTATCCACCGAAACGTACTCAAAGTTGGCGACATGCTTCTTGAAAGATGTCTGGCTGATATTGCCACGGGACGTTCGGTCATCTTCGTCATCTGACGAGCCTTGTATGAGCACAGGCTCCGCCGAGGGCCTCTTCCGCGGGTTGGAAGGCGCTTGTGACTTGGGGGGCGGCTGAAATCGTGAGCCGGGGGGCACGAGGCGTGAGAAGTAGCTGGATTTGTTCTGGAACGGCGAGGATGCGGGAACCTCAATGACTGAACGCGAAGAGGGGGAGGAGGAATGATCGGGTTGCGTCTTGGCTTGGGACGCGAGTGACGTTCGATTGACAATTTGCGTCGCTTGTGTCTGGTAGGGGGATTCGGGGATCGTCTCGTCGGCGAGCTCGTCGTCGTCGTTACCGCGACGAATGCCTCTGATCGGTGACGTGCCCATTGCCGAGCTGCCCACCGGCGGCGGTGAGGAGCTGAGGGTATAGTTGATTACCATGGCTCGTATAGATGTGTTTGTTGCTTGTGGGAAGTGAGGTGGAAATTGGGAAGTTGACAAGCGGAGGTACGAAGGCGGACAATGGTCGATATACAAAGGCGGGGAGAAGTTTGCTCAAAGGAGAGAAGGACTCGAGGACTTTGCTGCTGTGAAGATGTCGATTGTCGAAAGGCTGTGCGAGAAAATTAACGCTAGAGCAGGAGAAATCGCAAGGTAAAAGAGCAACAGATTGGGCAATTGCAGGTATCCGTGCCGCCTTCCAAGATGTGGGCGCTCCTGAGCAGGCTGGCAGGAGAGGGCCGAGATTGATTTTGAACCGACGGCGGCACTGGAGTGGGAATTTTCTGGGGCAGATCGCAACGCCCCCCATGTCCGTTGACACGGGAATCCAAAGAAACGCGCTTAGACGAATCCCCATAGCGCGTCCGCACGTGGTTGGCGTCATCAATTAAAACACCGTGCGGGCAATCATCCCTTCGAACTGTGGGCACTGTCTTTTGACTTCACGTCTCGTTTTTGAGGAGACCTCTAGCAGCAAGGCTCAATGAGCGGGACCATCAAACTCATAAGCCCCAACCGACGTTCATCAACTCCGGGTCTTCCGCAACGTCCTCGACTGACAACGAGCCTATTTCAACGTCGATAATCAACACCTTGTAAGTTTCCTGTCCCTTAGCACAAGCTATACGAGACCATGTGCGCTTACTTTACACCTTTTCCAAATCAAGATACACGTCATGGCGACCCGACGCATCGTGGCCTCGGAGAAGACCATCCTCGAGAAGGATGATGTGGTTGGTGCCAGTCCCGCTGCTGGCGACAAGTCCAACATCACTCCTGCTGTACCAATGGATGTCATCTTGAAGCTTCTTGGATTCACGTTGGCCATGATTGTGTTGCCCATCGGCACCTACTTTGCTACGGTCGACTTCCTTTTCAAGGGTAAGTAAGCTGCACTCGTGTTTCTGCCCTTTCCCATTCCACTGCCAACCACGATTGGACGCGCCCGATTAATCTGATAACCAGGCAATTCGACATTTGCCGGCGCTCTTGCTGCTGTAATGGCCAACGTGGTATTGATCAGTTATGTTATCGTTGCCATGAAGGAGGATCAGAGCGACCAGCTGGAAGCGAAGAAGCAAGGGAAAAAAGACCGTTGAGATTTGGGACGGGCAGTCAATCGACACCTTGGTGCCTGGGGTGGCAGCCTGGAACGCGTTTCACAGTTTCCGTAGGAATGAAAGTTGTGTCACACATCCCTCTCTCTCATCAGATATTTTACACTGTTGATGGCAAGTTTACCTCTATTCAGGAGATTATATTACGTTGATCTGGTCTTCTTCTAAGACCTGGCTTATTGAAAGCCACACCAGTGTGATAATGAAGCCTTATCAAATTTCCAACGCCTGAACCGCCAAGTCATCCCCAAGCATTGTAGATGAAACATTGTCGTCAAGTCACCATCAAGCCTCCATGGCTGCCGACTTCGCCCTCGCAATCGTAAACTGGATCCTGTGCATATACCTCGATCCAAACAGTGTGTATTTCGTTGTTTTTTTGAATCAGAAAATAGATAGCCATACCTCTCGGCTATACTCTCAAATTGACGACCCACCTCAAAATAGGAACGGCCGTCTCATCAGGGGAGAAGGGTACTCCGGCAACTCCACACCAGTGACATATCAGGTATAAGCCGATCTCTGCCCGAGAACACCATTACACATCCAGAATCTAAGAAAATGGGGGTATCGACAACGTTAAAACGAAAACCAGCTCATATCTCATGCCTTGTGTTGTTCAAGATGATTTGCTGAAGCGCTTAGAGAACCAGCTCTTTCTCTTGGCCGGCTCAGCAGGTCTAGGCTGCGCCTGTTGCTGCTGTTGCGGTGGGGAGGCGCCAACTGGTCTCCGAAGGACGTTCGCGCTCTGTTGCTGAGGTACCTGGGCTCCGTTGTTCACAGATTGATAGGCATGTCCCTTTCCATTTGGCGCGCCATTGTCAAACTTGAGAGCAGACGCCTGGTGCCCTTGGTCCTGACTGAAGCCAATGCCATAATCATTGGTGGGTTCAGGCCTACGAGCCGGACCGCCACGCTCAATAGAGCTATTGTCGCTACTAGTCGGATCGGTATGGTAGCCTGCATGCTCTCCGGAGCTTCCACTTGCGGCGGCTGATGTAACAGTCTCGTATGAGCGGTCCTTGTTGGGAAGGGGATAGATGTTCTGATCGCCGCGAGCGTAGCCGTTCATGTGGGGATCGGTCTGCGTCCTGGGAACTCTCTGTCGGTAGGGAATGTTGTTGCCGCCATTATAATGTCCTCCACCATTTTGGTATTGATCGTAGTAACTCTGTCGATTAGACCCCATCTCAATCTGACCGCTTTCGGGACGGAACGAGCCCGGGCGACCGTTGTAGTAGCTGTCATGGGGATGGCGTCCTCCACTGGCTATATAATGGATTAGCTAGGCTGTGCAATCAATCGGTGAGTAGATAAACTTACTGGCATAGTAGCTGCTGCGCCTGTTCCATGTTTGGACCGACTCTGTATCTGAGCGAATATAAGACTGTCGCCGGTCTCGGTCACGATAGCCTCCATCAATGGCGGCCTCGAAACTGCGAATGGTATCAAGGGGTCGTTCCCAACGGCTACGTGTGGGATTAGATCGGTCGGGTTCGGCTGAGAAGCATGGTTAGAATAAACCGGCTAGGTTTGCGGATCCAGAGCTGTAGCGTACCAATTGGGGCTCCGGTGGTGTCCTTGTGCTGAATGGCGCGCAAAGGAGCCAAGGAAGTCTTGGTCATTGCCTGAACGGCGGCTTCGGAAGCTGTTAGATATCTTACAACCGACATCACAGGAGTGGTAACTTACAAGGTTCGGCCTCACTCATGGCGACGGTAGGATCAGCTTTGCTGTGTAATCTCTTTGCTTCCTTCTCTTCAGGTGTCTCGTGGAGGTCGATCTTGGGGTGACTGCCAGAGCTCTTGTGGGATTTATTGGACTGGAAACTGAAGGTTCTCGGCCGGGACTTGGAGCGTCTATGGGGAGTTTGATTCTGGGCGTGAGATGGGGACTGCGCCTGGGCGTTGGGAGGTGGTTGAACAGGCTGAGGCTGGTCGTACTGCTGCTGATAAGGCGGGAATTGGGACTGGCCGTTGTCGTATGAGTCGGGGCCTTGTTGGTGATAGTGGTGATTCGGTTGCTGGTGCTGGGGAGGCAGCGCGGGAAGTGGATGGTGTTCAGCCATGACGGGCGACTGGGGAGGGTGCTACTTTTAATTGATCTGTCTCGCAAGTAGGCGGGTTCAGTGGGCGCGGACCTGGTCTCGGCGAGCAAGGTCGATGGATGGAGCTATTGCGTGCCTTATCGCGGGTCAGCAAGGGGAAGAGTGGGCGGGCGGTTCCCAGAGGTCGCTAGCGAGGCGGCCAAGGTTGCGTTTTCCAGGGGTGAGCGTGAGATGATGGAGCGCGGTGGAGCGTTGGAAGGGGCAGAATAGTGGAAGGGAAGGGGGTTTGGGGTGTGCCGTATGCCTGAGTGTGGTGTTTCTGCCGACAGCTGGGATTGAAAGTGGATGCAGAAACTAGCAGAGAATAGTGTACCCGTGGACCGGGCTGTTTCCAGTGTTCCACTTGTTGACGATGTGTGTTTGTATGAGAAGCAAATCTTCGGGGACGGAGAACAAGCAGTTCGAGAGCAAGTTGAGGTGCTTGTGTGCTTGGGAGATGTTTTTTCTTTCTTTCTCAGATACTGTCGCAAGGGGGCAGGAAAGCAGGGAACTGGGTGTCTCGAATGTGGCTGGGGGTGAGGTTGAGTCGACAACCTGGAAGGCACTTGACTTGGTACGAACGGCAACGGCAACAACTCCCAGCCGATGAAGCTGCCCAGGTGGGCTGCGGTGTGGTTGTGGTGCCGCGCTGGAAGGAACGGCCAGGCAACCCGACGACAACAGCGATCCAATGAGATGGCGACAGAAACACCAATGACAACGACAAACCCCAGCTGAGGGTACGGGAACGGGAACAGTTGCAGGTGCAGGTGCAGGTGTTGGTGCGATGGAGGGTGCTCACGGACAATTCGGTACGTACCTTGCTTTTTTTTTTGGGCCGATGTTTCGATCCTTGGTATGGAGTACCTTATGCAGCGAGGTATTGCTGCAAGCTTGGTGTATCTTGCTGCAACAGAAGCAAGAGAGAAAAAAACGGGAGGGAGTCTGAGTCTGACTCTCGCGCTCTCCCAAGTCTCAACTCTCGGATGGATTCTGATGGGATTTTGGGAAGACAACTTCGGGCGAGCGACGCCAGGATGTTTGCTGAAAAAGCGCTAGGGCGATTTGAATTGGAGGCGTTACAGGGAAGGAGGGTGGCCGCAATGGGTTAAGCGTCACGTCTTTTTTCGATGGGGTGGTCGGACGCTGGAGTCAGGTCCGGCGACGTAGGGGAAAAAGTGGTGACTGGGGGGCTGGGACGCTCAGGGACGCCGGGGCCAGCAAGTGCTGTCCTGGTGCTGTAAACTGGGTCTGCCCAGACGGCAAGCGCCTCCTGCTTGTTGATGAGTGTCTTGGTGATGTGATGTTGCCGTTGGGTTTCTTTTTCCGCCGGCTGGTTCTTCTCCTGCTGTTTGCTGCCAATTTCTTTCTGCCCAGGTTGAAGAATTGACGTGTGTTCCGATATAAGGATGTAAGGATTTTTCTCAAGCAAAACTAGCTTGGCCGGCTGTGGTTCTTGCCTTTTTGTGTTAGTTCTGTCGCTCTTTCCTTCTTTTTGAGTGTCACCGGCAGTTGCAGCAGGGTGCGGGCAAGCTGGCAGGGTTCCCATCGACCTGAGCCTTAGGTAAGAAGGCTTTTCCTGACAAAAGATACGTACCGGTAAAGAAAGTATCCTGTTTCCTGGCTTTACTTTGGACGGGAGGGTCCTTTGAGGGCAATCAAGCCGTTGCTTCTGAATCTGACGTTCTGTAGCCTTCTTCGGACGTTTCGTAACAAAAAACGAGTAAACTGGGTATTATGTTTGATATTGCCTGTTGATCGATGATCGAATGCGACGTAGTTGGCGCGTTTGCAGGCGGTTGGTGGTGGGCCCGGAAGGGCTAGGACGTGGAGGCCGTCGATCGTTCGCTTGATGTGCGTGGTGGAACTGGATGGGCAATGCTAATGGCGGTGCAGAGCAATGCGAAATGCTGTCGTTTCCGAATGGCCAATTTCGCCCCTGTCGTCGTCGGTTTGTCTGTCTGGAGACTATCTGGCTATGGCTGACGTCAAGCGGCGGTAATCCTCACGTGTTTCAAGCGCCTTCGCGTGGTAGCTCGAGGTACGGTATGGCGGAACGCAGCGGTGTCCTTTTCCCCTTTCCTTTAATTTGCTTTTTTTTCCCTTCTTGTCTTTCTCGGCCCTTCCCTTTCGGCCCTTGGCCTAATGCGTCTTGGAATGGAATGGAATTGGATCGAGAAATTGTCGATTGGGGGGTGCTTCTCAGCTCCTGTGCTTCCAGGACCAATTTGTCCGGTCGCAGAGCACGAATTTTGGTCTTCGCTCCGTGTCGGACGTTTTACGTTCTCGGGTCTGCGTTTCTGCTCGCTGTCCCAATATCAGCCAACCTGTTTTGCATCCATGTGGTCGATGGGGTCCAGTGTCTTCTTCATCCCACGTCGCAGCGCCATGCATCGTGGCACGTCCTGGCGCCGCAGCCGACCGCTGCTTGCAGATGATGGACGACCCATGGTGACCCAAAAGAAATTCCCACCTCTGTGCGTACCTGGTTTTCTTTCAATGGCCCCTTGCTACTTTGATTATCCCGGAGGTGGACGGGTCGCTTGTCGGATCGCTCCGAACAGTGAGGTTTTATCAAATTGCCTTATTATAGATGGTGCTCCGGAGATTGGAAGGGCGTCGATAGCGTCCAAAGCCAGGTCGGGTCAATGACAATGACTGGTCAGCGAAAGAAGGTCGAGGTGGCAAATGATAAAATATGGCGAGATGCCAGTGTGCGTGGTATAGGCAGCGAGTGTGAAAGGTGATTCACTGTAACCCTGCAGGTGTTGAGGCAACGAGGTGGATTAATACGTCGTCAAGTGTGGATGTGAGTGAATCGGGCGAGACCTTTTGGAGGTGTAACAAGGCCAAAAACATAAGGATGGCTTAAGAATCCCAACGCAAAAGCGTGGCG